ATTGGACCAGAATCACAAATCATAAATAAAGAGAAAACCAGCACAAAAAACCACCAAACTGAAGTGGCAGACAGAAATACAGGGGGAAAGTAGCAGTGCGAATACAGAACAACCAGAAAACAAAAAAAAAGATGGCAGTATTAAACCCTCATACATCAATAATCACTCTAAACATAAATGGATTGAATTCACCAATCAAAAGACACACAGTGCCTGAACTGATAAAAAAACAGACACAACAATACGTTGCCTCCAGGAAACACATCTCAGCTCTAAAGACAAACATAGGATCAGAGTGAAGGGAGGGAAGATGATACTCCAAGGAAATGGCAAACAAATGAACGTGTGTCTTGCAATACTATATAGGACAAAGCGGACTTCAAGATAAAAAAGATAACGAAAGACAAACAAGGGCACTATATAATGATAAAAGGAACATTCCACCAAGGCATAACACTTATGAATATATATGCACCTAACACAGGAGCACCAAAGTATATAAAGCAACTATTAGCAGACCTTAAGGGAGAAATTAACAGCAACAAAATAATAGTAGGGGACCTCAATATCACACGTATGTCAATGGATAGATGATCCAGACAGAAAGTCAACAGGGAAAGAGTGGCCTTAAATGAAACACTAGGCCAGATGACTGGATTTAATAGATATATACAGAACATTCCATTCAAAAACAGCAGAATACGTAGTCTTCTCAAGTGCACATGGAACATTCTCAAAGACAGACCATATGTTGAGAAACAAAGCAAGCGTCCATAAATTTAAGAAAATTGAAATATCAAGCATCTTTTCCAGATACAGTGCTATGAAACTAGAAATCAAATGGAAGAAAAAGATGGAAAGTCACGAATATGTGGAGACCAAGCAACAGGCTACTGAACAACTGTTTGATCAATGAAGAAATAAGTGGAGAAATCAAATAATACCCACAGACAAATGAAAAGGAAAACACAATATAAAAAACCTTACAGAATGCAGCAAAAGCACTATTAATGGGGAAAGTTACAGCAATACAGGCCTACCACAAGAAACAAGAAAAATCTCCAATAAACAAGCTGATCCTGTGCCTAAAAGACTAGAAAAAGAAGAACAAACAAAACTGGAAGTCAGAGGAAGGAAGCAAATAATAAAAATGAGAAAAGAAATAAATGAAACAGAAACTAAAAAAAAAAAAAATAGAAAGGATGAATGAAAAAAGCTGGTTCTTTCAGAAGATAAACGAAATTGACAAATCTTTAGCCAGACTCACTAAGGAAAAAAGAAAGAAGACTCAAAGAAATAAAATCAAAAATGAAAGAGTAGAAATTACACCCGACAATACAGAAATACAAAGGATTATAAAAGAATATTATGAAATGCTATATGCTGACAAACTGGATAACCTATAAGAAATGGACAAATTTTTAGAATCATATAGCCTTCAACTAACTGAATTAAGGAGAAACAGAGAATCTGAATAGACCAATCCCTAGCAAAGAGATTGAAACAGTAATCAAAAACCTCCCAAAACACAAAGTCCAGACCAGACAGCTTCTCTGGTGAATTCTACAAACCATTCAAAGAAGATTTAATAGCCCTCCTTCTCAAATTATTCTGAAAACTTGAATAGGGCAGTATGCTTCACAACACATTTTACAAGGCCAACATTACCCTGACAACCAAACCAGAGAAGGACAACCCAAAATGGAAAATTACAGGCCAATATCGCTGACAAATAAAGATGCAAAAATCTTTAACAAAATATTAATAAATCGCATACAACAGAGCATTAAAAGGTCATACACCACAACGAAGCAGGATTTATTCAGGGATGCAGGGATGGTTCAACATCCGCAAATTAATCAATTTGATACATCACATTGGCAAACTGAAGAATAGGAATCATGTAATCATCTCACTAGATGGAGCGAAAGCATTTGACAAGATCCTACATTCATTTATGACAAAAATTCTAAACAAAATGGGCATAGAAGGAAAGTACCTCAATATAATAAGGGCCATATATGACAAACCCACAGCCAACACCATAATCAATGGAGGAAAACTGAAAGATATCCCTCTAAGAACCAGAACAAGACAAGGGTCCCTGCTCTCACCACTGTTATTCAACATAGGATTGGAAGTCCTATGTAGAGGAACTAGGCAAGAAAAAGAAATAGAAGGGATCCAAATTGGAAAAGAAGAAGTAAAACTGTCACTATTTGTGGATGACATGATTCTATACATAGAAAACCCTAATGAATCCAACAAAAAGCTATGTTAAAAATTTAATGAATTCAGTGAAGTTGCAGGATACAAAATCTACACACAAATATCATTCGCATTTTTAAACACTAAAAATGAACTATCAGAAAGACAAATCAAGAATACAATCTGCTTTACGATCCCAACAAAAAAGAATATAGTAAATAGGAATAAATTTAACCAAGGGGGTGAAAGACCTAAGCACTGAAAACAATAAGACATTATTGAAAGAAGTCAATGATGACATAAAGAAATGAAAAGATATTCTGTGCTCGTGGATTGGAAGAATAAACTCAGGTTAAAAAGTCCATATTACATGAAGCAAACTGCAGATTCAATGTCAATGCAATCCCATTCAGAATACCAATGACATCTTTCCCAATAATAGAACAAAGAATCCTAAAATTCATATGGAACAACAAAATACCTCCAATAGCCAAAGCAATCCTGGGAAAAAAGAACAAAACTGGAGGTATCACCCTCCTTAAATCAAAATAAAATACAAAGCTATAGTAAGCAAAACAGCATGGTACTGGCAGATAAACAGACAAACAGATCCATGGAACAGAATTGAGAGCCCAGAAATAAATCCACACATCTATGGACAAATAATCTTTGACAAAGGAGCCAAGAACATAGAATGAGAAAAGGAAAGTCTCTTCAATAAATGATGTTGGGAAAACTGGACAGCTACATGCAAAAGAATGGAAGTAGACCATTATCTTATACCATGCACAAAAGTTAGCTCAAAATGGATTCAAGACTTGAATGTAAGACCTGAAACCATAAAACACCTAGAAGAAAATATAGGCAATACACTCTTTCACACTGGTCTTTGCAGTATCTTTTTGAACACCATGTCTACTCAGGCAAGGGTACCGAAAGAAAAAATAAACAAATGGGACTACATCAGACTCAAAAGCTTCTACAAGTCAAAGGAACCATGAACAAAATGAAAAAACAACCAACCAACAGGGAGAAAATACTTGCAAATCATATATCAAACAAGGGCTTAATTTCCAAAATATATAAAGAACTCATACAACTCAACAACAAAAAACAAACAACCCGATCATAAAATGAGCAGAGCATATGAACAGACATTTTTCCAAAGAAGATATACAGATGACCAACAGGCACTTGAAAAGATGTTCAATGTCACTAATTATTAGGAGTATACAAATCAAAACTACAATGACTTATCACTGTATACCTGTTAGAATGGCTATGATTATCAAGGCAAAAAAATAACAAACGTTTGAGAGGAGGTGGAGAGTAGGGAACCCTCATACACTGCTGTTAGAAATGCAAACTTGTGCAGCCACTATGGAAAACAGTATGGAGATGACTCAAAAAATTAAAAATAGAAATACTATACAATACTGGTATCAACTGGATAGAGCCCTTACTGGGTATTTATCCAAAGAACTTGAAATCAACAATTCAAAGAGACATGCACCCCTATGTTCATTGCAGCATTATTAGCTATAACCAAGACGTGGAAGTAACCCAGTGCCCATCAACTGATGAATGGATAAAGAAGACGTGGAATAAAGAAACAATGGAATACTACTCAGCCAGAAAAAAAGACAAAGCATCCCATTTGCAGCCGCATAGATGGATCTTGAGGGTATGATGTTAAATGAAATAAGCCAGACAGAAAAAGACAAACATTACATGATTTCACTCATATGTGGAAGATAAGCAAACACTTGGATAATGAAAGCAGACTAGTGGTTACCAGAGGGGAAGTGGGTGGTGGGGAGGTCAAAGGGGTAAAGGGGACATATGTATGGTGATGGATAAAAACTGGACTATGGGTGGTGAGCATGATGCAGTCTATACACATAAATAATAATGTACACCTGAAATTACACGATGTTGTAGACCATTACGACCTGAACAAAATAATTGGAAAACATATATAATAATAACAAGAGCAATGACTCAACCTACCACCATTCTTGTGAAGGTTATACATACGTAATCTTCTGACACGTAATTTTCATAAAACGTAAACGAAGTAAGGGTTAGGATTAAATTATTTCAGATTTGTGGAGAAGAGCGTCTCATGGAGGTGGAATGAGGGAAAGATTTTAAATCAAAATTACATGTTGATCCAGAAGACTGGATGGCACAGCTACTCAGTAAGGTTCAGCCGGTGTGATAGTTTAAGAATAAAGGTCTGACAACATCCATGAAGGTACCTTCTTTAGGTTCATCATTTACACCCTTCAACAGAATAGGTGCCAACAATATGTGGGGACTATTGATAGAGGCAGAGGAAGAACGAACAGTTATGCTGTTGTCTCTCTAGCAACACTTGTTCTGGACAATGTGCACACACTGTGAGTACAGCTTTTCAGAAATTCATTATCATTGCCCCCTGCTGTACAGAAAGAGACAGAAGATCAACATTAAGAAGCAAGAGCCATGAGCTCACATGGTACTTCAGAGCAAATCTCAGGCAGGGAATTATTTCCGTCCTGCTCGTTGCTTGTGATCTCACTTACCACTCACTTTATACAGAAAGTTTAAAGTGCTCATGTGGAACCATGGACAGAAAGTAGGGATAAGTCTGGAATGATTGTAGTCTGGAGTTCAGATAATTACGTCTTCATGATGTCAGGCACTTCTGGAAGCCCCACCCAGGAGGAAGAAAGAGGATGTGGATTGTCTTCACTCTGGTGGTGAGAGTGGGGTCACCCACACTTCTTGGAGGTCTGTGTCACTGGCAGAGTTATCTGTTCCTCATAAAAACACATCGCTGGGGCCAGCAGGACAACTTGGATGCAGGACCATGTCCCTGGTTCTTCCCACCCTGCTCTGTCTTGGTGAGTCTGGGAGAGAGGGGCCCAGCTACAAATACAAGGCTACAGGGGGCAGGGCTGCCGGTTCTAGAAAGCTGAGCTGTCTCACCTGCTGTTTCCTTCCAGGGTTGTATCCAGGCCAGTGCACTCAGGCACAGAACAGTAAGTATTCCTCTTAATATGCCCAAGTCCCTTCTCCTGGTTTAGGCTAGATATCAGCTCTCTTGGCAGCTGAGAGGAGCAGACTCAGCATTCTGACCAGTGGCTGTAAGAGGGGATGAAGTGGATGGATGGTGTGAAGAACAGACTCACCTGTAAGTCTGTTACCTGTTCCCTTTCTTCTAGGAAATCTCCCCCGACCTGATATCACAGCTGTGCCTGAATCCATGGTTCTGTCCAAGGAACCAGTGAGCATCCAGTGCCAAGGGCCTGCAGAAGCTACAGCATATGCGATATCTAAAGTGGGAAGCCCTGAGCGCTCACACACAGAGAAACAACTGCTGTCTAAGACTACAAATACTTTGGAAATTGCACAGATGACACCAGACAGGGCAGGGCTGTACCACTGCTCCTTTCAGAGTGGAGATAGCTGGTCCCAGTTCAGTGACCCCCTGCAGCTGGTGATGACCGGTGAGTGTACACAGAGGCAGCAGAGCCAGGACTCACCCCTTTACAGAGGGAAGAACCAGACTTTGCAGATACAAAAGCACAGAGGACAAAAACTCCTATCCTTAGGAAGGAATCGAGGGTGATGCAGAGACAGATTCCTCAGGGCGAGACAAGGGGATAGAAACCAGAGCCCTGTCTGCTCCTGGGGAACAAAAAGGGACAATGCATGTGGTGGCCCTGCACTTTGTCACCAAACTTCCTTCTTTCTCAGGAGCTTATGACAAACCCTCCCTCTCAAGCATGACTGGCACTGTGGTGGCTTCAGGGAAGAATGTGAAGTTGCAGTGTTTCTCAAGACTCAAGTTTGACGCATTTATTCTTATCGAAGAAGATGAAGTTCACGCCATCCAGAACCAAAGCTCCACCCCCAAGGGTGGTGGACATCAGGCTGTCTTCCTGTTGAATCAAGTCTCCCCCACACAGGCGGGGACCTACAGATGCTATGGTGTCTTCAGCCGTTACCCCTATGTGTGGTCTCATGCCAGTGACCCATTGCAGCTTCCGGTCAGAGGTGAGGAAGCCCCAGTGCACACATCCTCATGTCCCCTCCTGGAGACCGACATGGTCCAGGTGGAGCAGTGATTGGGAAAAGGAGGACAGTGTGGTGGGAAGGCGGTGTCACCACCATCTGCTTAGACAGGAAGCTCTGAGGAGCTCACTCTCCTCATCCACTATGCAGCCCTCCTACCACATGCCAGGGGACCGGGTAAGGGCAGTGTAGTCGTGGGGAATCTGGGTAGAAGGGAGCCTGAGAAGAGAGAAAGAAAACCACTCCCATTTCAGCCCCATTTGCAGAAGCTCCTGATCCCATGAACTCCACATATTTTCTTGGTGAGTAACTCACTTTAGATGGAAAAGTAAAAAACATTCAAGTAAAAGAGAGAAAGAAAACCACTCTTGGGCCGTCTACGTGGCTTAGCGGTTAAGTGCGCGCGCTCTGATGCTGGCGGCCCGGGTTCGATCCCGGGAGCGCCCCAAGGCACCACTTCTCCGTCCAACGCGAGGCCGAGTCCCACGTACAGCAACTAGAAGGATGTGAACCCATGACGTACAACTATCTACTGGGGCTTTGGGGGGAAAAAACTGAATAAATAAAATCTTTAAAAAAAAAAAAAAAAAAAGAAAACCACTCTGATTTCAGCCCGATTTGCAGAAGCTCCTGAAGGTCCTGATCCCACGACGTCCAGACCTTCAACTGGTGAGTAACTGAGTTTAGATGGAAAACTGAAAAAACATTCAGGTAGACTAGAAGAAGAAAACCACTCTGATTTCATCCCCATTTGCAGGAGCTCCTGGAGATCTGTACTCCAGGAAGCAAAGACATTCAACTGGTGAGTAACCGAGTTTAGGTGCAAAACTGAAACAAAGACTTTCCATTTTCTCTTCTCTCAGATTTGGATAAAAGGATTATTTACCAGAGATAGAGCCAGCTTTTTCAAAGGGCTTCTGATGGCTGGAGGCAGGGAGCAAACAGATAAAGGAAGTTGCTCTCCACAAGGATCAGCAGAAGGTTAGAGGGTCTATGAATTGCAAATCAAATCAATAATGCCCATAGATACCATTCGTCATTGATGCACATTCCCAATATTTCTGAGAACGTCGAGGATTCATAGCCACTCACTCACTGTGCCCTACTCCCAGAAGGACAAATACTCATAGTGTCAGCTCAGGATAACTGTTCGAGGGGGTTCTGGACTCAACCTGGTTCTCTGAAGGCTTCCTCCCAACACTGGGCTTGTGGACTCAAAAATTATGAGAGCTGTTTTTACAATTAATTCACTGTGTCCCCCTGGGTAAGTCTTTTCCCTCCTCTGAGCATCATTTTCCCCACATATATAGAAGCAAATTGTGTACAGGATTAAGGACTGTTGAGACAAGACCTTCTGTGGTGTGGCCGTTGTCACTCCTTGCCTATGTGCTGAGAAGAATTTACTATGAACTTGATTCCAGTCCCAAGTCACGTCTCTATCTGTGCCTGTGATGTCGCTGCACTGGGGGACCGTTCATGGAGAAATAGACACATGAGGAGTTTCCAAGGGTGGGGCGGAAGGTGAGAGGTTTCCGCTTGGATTTGTTGCTTTTGAGTTGGCTGAGCATCAGACTAGGGGAAATGTACCCCTGGAAGTCAGCTTTATAATTCTTGAGCCAGAGCATGCAGGACTGGAGATACAGATGTGGAATTGTTGAGCCTAAAGATCACAAAGCAAGTAGACTAGATAATCCAGGCACTGTGGATAGAGGGAGGAGGGAGTCCTAAAGGAAAACACAAATACACACGCAAACAAAATCTATTGGGGTCAAAATACATAAGAGATTGATAGACTAGAGATTGGGAGGCTATGATCTGAGGGTTAAATCCAGCTCACTGCCTATTTGGTTAAAGAAAAGATTTATTGGAATCTAGCCATGCTTTATGGGAATCTAGCCAACACAATTCTTTATTTGTTGTCTGTGGCTGCTTTTTCGCAATGCAAATGCATACTTTTTCCACAAATTTCAATATAACTGCTGAATTCTTGGTTCTTTAAATGAGCTCTCCCCTCGGCTCTGCTATCACCACACTGTGCGTTTATCTCTGCTAGCTTTTTCCTGTGCTGTTCTTCCTCTACTTCACGGGTGGGCAAATATTTCCCATAATAGGCCAGATAGTAGAGGTTTTCAGCTTTGTGGGTGTCTGTTCTCTTTCGCTACTACTCAGCTCTGACTTTGTAGCACCAAAGCCACCACGGACCATATACAGAAGCCAGCGAGCAAGGTCATGTTCCCACAAAACGTTATGAACGGGCACTGAAATTTGGATACCAGAGAGCTCGTATGTGTTGCACAATATTGTTGCTCTTTCAATTTGTTTCAACAGTTTAAAAGTGCAAAATCCATTCTGAGTTCGAGGGCCACACGATAACAGTGATGTGCCAGGTTTTGTCTGCAGGCCATCACGTGCTGATCTCTATATTGATATAAATTTCCATTTCCGAGTCCTTCATCATCTAGTACTATGAGGTGGTCAAAGCTCTTTCCCATTTTCTAAGAAACGGAGTCAACACTTCTGTGCTTTGTGATTGTGGTGAGGTCCGAGAGAGCACTCAGAAACTGTGCCGTGTGTGAAGGTACCTTGCTCCTCTTGAATCAAGTATCCTCAGCATAGGCCGGGACCTACAGATGCTGTGATGTCCTGCGCTATTACCCCTATCTGTGGTCTCACCCCAGTGATCCATTGCAGCTTCAGGTCAGAGGTGAGGAAGCCTCAGCCCACCCATCCTCACGGCCCGTCCTGGATTCTGACACTGTCCCGGTGGAGCAGTGATTGGGATAAGGAGGACCGTTTGGTGGGAAGATGGTGTCACCACCATCTGCTTATACAGGAAGCTCTGAGGAACTCACTCCCAACACCCACAATGCAGCCCTCCTACCACATGCCCAGAGGGCTGGGGAAGGGCAGTGTAGTCATGGGGAATCTGGGTAGAAGGGAGCCTGGGCAGAGAGAAAGAAAACCATTCCCATTTCATCCAATGCTGAAGCTCCTCACGATCCTGATGTCGTGAAGCCCAGACCTTCTCCTGGTGAGTAACTGCTAATCTTTGTAGAAGGAGCACAGAGGCAGAGAGAATAGCGGGTGCAAAAGGCATGAGGTAGAAGGAGCTTCACGTGTACATAGAATGTCAAGGAGGCCATTCCTGTTTGCTGAGTCCGTGGTTTAATCAGAGGGAACTAGCAAGGAAAGAGCAAGCAGGTCTCCAGTGGGCCAGACTGGAGGCACCCTGTTCCCCACTCCTGTCTTTCTTGACCCAAGAATTCCCTCAAGGGATCACGACCATGCCCACAATGACAGGAGGAAAGAAAAGTAAGTAATTGCTTATCTGACAGGTTGGGCTGGGCTGGCTACATGCCAGAGCCAGTAGACGGAGAAATGTGCTGGTGTTTTGCAGTATGTTAGTGGAACGGCCTTGGTGCCCCCTCTGTAACCTTTTATCCTTTTCTCTCAGAGCCTACTGCTTGGCATCCTTCTGCAGAGAATCAAGTCCGGCTGAGCCTGGCTGGCCTGATTCTCTTGGTCCTGCTGGTCCTGTTGGCTGAGGCCTGGTACAGCTGGAAGACGCCCTTAAACGGACCCAGACAAGCCCCTACCTGAGTATAATGAAAAGCACCGATGTCCCTCTATTAGCATCTAAGGACTGTGCAGGCCCGGGTGGACAGCCAGAGGAGATAGGGCCCTGGCTGCATAATCAACCGAGATAATGGAGAAGATTCATTTCCTATTGAACCTGTAACAACTTACCATAGACACAGTGGATTAAAGTAATACAAAATCATTCCCTTCTTGTTCTGGAGAGCAAGAGTCTAAAATGTGTCAGCAGGCCTGCATTCCTCTTTTCATTTCTGGTCCCTGTTCCTAGCTTTTCCAGTTTCTAGATTCTGCCTGCATTGCTTGCCTTGTGGCTCCCTGCTCCATCTCCAAATCCACCAGTGTGGCATCTTTTCTGCTCACTGACCTCTTCTTCCTTCCTTCCTTCTTCTCTCTATCACACCCACCCTCCTACTTCCCTCTTATAAGGACCCTTGTAATGACATTGGGCCCAAGAAGATCATCTAGGATAATCTCCCTATCTCAAGATTCTTAACTTCCTCATACCTGCAGTGTCCCTCTGCCTTGTGAGGTACCATTCAGAGGTTCTGGGGATTAGACCTGCACAACTCTTGGGGGCACTATTCAGCCAACCTCCAAGAGCTCAGTACATTGGGCCATTGACCTGGCTGTACTTGCATTAATGCACTACCTCCTGGGGGAGACATGAGGATGACATACTTTAATACTTTTTAGAATTTAGGACAGGACATGATTTAAACACAGGGAGATTCTTAGTAAACCTTGCTTATTTATAGTGTAAAGTATAGGTTCCTAAGGGTGTTTGTACTTGGAGGGAGGAAAATGAGTCTAGAAATAGAAAAGCTGATTTTTTTTCTATAATAACCCTTTTTTATTTAAAGATTATAGAAAGCAAATGTAAAACTATGAACATTTATGTTAGTTGGTTTGTTTCAGGATTGAAGTTACACAGGTATTTGTGATGTTAGCCATTGTTCCTGTTTAGGGATTTATTTCTGTTATTTCTGAAAAGGAAAATCCTAAAAAGCATGGAACTAAAACAAGAGACTCACAGAATGGTAACTCTGAACCCCGTTACAGTTCATTGATGAAATCACTCTGGAATTTCTTAACTCCAATCTACTGAAGTAGTAATAAATATCCTCAGACTTAACCCAGATGGATACTGTGTTCTGTAGAAACATGTAGATACTAAGTTACGTCACTTGCTCTTTGTCCTCACCTCTGCCCCGAGATGAGACTCTCTAAGAGCTCTCTGCTACTGGCTGCTGTTCCCTCACCAAATTTCCCTTCTTCTGCCTAATTCCTCCACTTTTCTCAGTGTCAGCATATGCATAACTTTTTATTGGATGTTTTCTCTGGAAGCCTTCTCAGAGTCTGCTAGTTGTCACTGTCATGTTTTAAATGACAACTTTTCTGTAAAGGACAAATAGTAAATATTTTGGGCTTTGTGAGTCACCTGATCTTCTTTGCAACAACTC